TACACAAAGAAAATATGAATATTTATGATATAATATGCATAAATAAATTTAACTTAACTCATATTTTGATCTGAGTATTCATTGGGAAAAGGATAGTTCTTTATACTTAGGTTAGCAATTTTAGTATAAATTTTTAAGGCACATATATAGGACATAAATCTAATAAGAGGTTAGAGGTTCTACATACAAACATGAATAAATTAAAATAGATATATATGTACCTTGATACATATAACCTATTAATTTGTTATTATTATTAACTTCTTATGCCTAGTATTAAATCAATGAGATTAAACTTAATTTGTAACCATCTCAGTTATATGAGGGATTTAACTAGTTTAAAATGAGTTAAAATGGTACAAAGCCTTTTTCTGAATTTAAGACTGAGACAACCTGTTTTGTGCATGTGGGTTTTGGGGAAATATAAAAGAAGGGAATCAGTTTTTTTAGATTTGATGATTGACAGGGTAAAGAGAAGGAAATAGTTATGGGAAGCAATAGATGAAATAGTAAGTTCATAAACACATTGACTTAACCTTTTTACTTCACTTTTTTATGATTTTTGTTTTGGCCACATTGTTGTCTAATTTGGAAAAAAAGTCAGGTTTTCATCGCTAAAATTATTTTTTTCTCTTGTCTATAAATAAGTAAGCAAATTTTCAACAGAGTTGAGTCTATTTAGTCAAATCTGAGGAATTAGACATTTTAGTCTGTTTGGGCTACTATAACAAAGTACCACATACTAGGCGGCTTATAAAGCACAGAAATTTATTTTTCACAGTTGTAGAGGCAGGAAGTCCAAGATCAAGGCACTAGCATATTTGGTGTCTGATGAGGGCCTGCTGTCTGGCTCATAGATGGCAGGACTGATTGACAAGTCCTAATATGGAGAAATGGGGGAGTTCTCTCAGTTCTTTCTAATAATGGCATTAATCTCATTTGTGAGGACTCTGCCCTCCTGCCTCATGACCTCCCAAAGGCTCCATCTTTTAATATCATTACGTTGGAGGTTAGGATTTCAACATACGAATTTTGAGGAAATACAAACATTCAGATCATAGCAGGAGAGAACACAAGAGGTGAATCAACCCAAATTTGCTAATGGAGGTGAAGTTAGAAAAGATTAAATTGATACTTAATTGTGCTGAATATCATAATATAAAATCACTATAATTTTTATATTTGAGAGTTCATTGAAAATCTCTTCTGTCTCTATGAAGTGCTTATTCTGTTTGCAGACCAGCTATTAAAATTATCAGGGATGTATAATTCTTTATGCAATAAATACCAAATTTTTAATTGTCCCGTTGTAATTTTGAGTGGGTGGTGAAATAGTAGAATGGACTAGAATAAACTCAGACTAGATTTTCAGAAGTCTTCATGTAATTTTAAAATGGAACAAATACTAATTAAATTATTAATAAATAATAAATTTAAAAGCAAAGTTACCCAAAGCCACCTGTTTATTTGTTTCGTTTTGCCTTTAACAAGGAATGGAGAATTGAGACATATTAAGACATCAAAACTAGTTTTATTATTTTCCCAGTCTTGCCAGTCTTGTTAATTGATTAGTAAATAGTGGTAAAGGATTCACCAAAGTGACCAATCCAAAGGGCATCTGAGCTCTTAAATTTCTATGTGATCTTGTTTAGTTTTGACAAACAACAATATTCTATGATTTGTTCAAAGGTCAGTGAAGGAACTACTGGATCTAATTTTTTTTCTTTATTGGGATGATATGAAGGTCAAAGACTTTTATCCTTTAAATAAATTTATTCTTTCACTTTTTGTGAAAATATATTGATATCCTTGAAATGAATGAGTCATTTCTCTAACTTCTTTCTTTCTTTTTTCAAATAAGTATGAAATACTGTGCAAATATATTGTTAGTGAAAATCTGAGTTAGATAACATTTGAAGCAGGTACATGCAATAACTGCATGGGCATGTGCTGTAGTCTGAAAGTTAAGTGCTAGAAATGTGTGTGTTTAAACAAGTCTTAAGAATCATTTTATTTGAGAACATTTATTGCTCAAATGTAAACTACTGAATAAGTGGTTCTCATAAAGCTTATTGGGCTTCCATCTTGAGTGAAGTAAACCTTTCTCTTTTTAAGAAAGCCAGCCAGTAATTACTCTTTGAAATTTTCCTTTATTTTTAGAGTCACCATAACAACAACAACAAAAAAATTCCAAGTGATCTTGGTTAGTCCAAGTCATCTGAATAACCTCTATTTTTAAAACACTAAAGATTGAAATATCTGAAGTTTTGGGATTTGAAAAATATAAGGTATAGAAAGAACATGTGTTCTTCATCTTTTTAATTCTCCAACATCTTTTACTTATAAAACCTAAAAACTGTGTCCTCAAACTGGTTTGGTTTGTCTAAATGTAACAATTTCTGATTATTGATGAATACGTTGTTAATGCTATAATTATATCATGCATTTACTTTAAAATTAGAAAATATGTCTACTATGAAGACTTTTGTGGGAGAATTATTCAAGAAATAATATGTTTTCAAGACACACTGGAACTAACCCGAAGCATGGTAACATCCCAGAGCTGGGTATGCTATTTCCATAGAGCTCAGTGCTGCTCAAGCTAGAAAGTCGTTTAGCATTGTATAAGAAAGAGCAAAAGCTGGCCGAAAACTTTGGAGTTTATTTTTTAACCTGTTTTATGGTAGGTAGGTAATTAGAAATGAAGATTTTTTTAAAGTACATTTTCAAAAATTGCTGGTATTCAAATTTTATTTTATCAACAAATAAATAGCAATACAACACATGTGCTTGAACCAGAAGGACTCAGTTTGGCTTATAATAAAAGAGTCATTTAAAAGCACCCACCATTTTCCTTTAAATTATGACCCTCTCATTTAAAAATATTTTAAATAAAGATTATGTAATCTGTAATATT